ACACACACACACACACACACACACACACACACACACAATGGAATATTACTCAGCCATAAAAAATATCTGTGCTAAATGAAATAAGAAAGACACATAAAATTCTCTTATATATAGAGTCTAAAAAACAAAACAAACAGAAACAGACATAGAGAACAAACTGGTGGTTGTCAGAGGGGTGAGGGTGGGGAGATAGACAAAATAAGAGGATTTAGGGGTATTAGGAGGTACAAACTTTCACTTATATTAAAAAAATCACAGGGGAGGAAAGTACAGCATAGGGAATATAGTCAGTAATATTGAAATAACTTTGAATAGTGACAGATGGGGACTACACTCACGCTAGTGAGCATTTTGTAATGTATGTAATTGTCAAATCATTATGTTGTACACCTGAAACTAACATTTTATGTCAAGTATACTCCATTATTTAAAAAGATTGCAATAGTGGGGTGCCTGGGTGGCTCAGTCGGTTAAGCGGCCGACTTCGGCTCAGGTCATGATCTCACGGTCTGTGAGTTCGAGCCCCATGTCGGGCTCTGTGCTGACAGCTCAGAACCTGGAGCCTGTTTCAGATTCTGTATCTCCCTCTCTCTGACCCTCCCCCATTCATGCTCTGTCTCTCTGTCTCAAAAATAAATAAACGTTAAAAAAAATTTAAAAAGATTGCAATAGTAACAATATAGCCTTAAGAGCTTGTTGATCGTTACTTATATAACACATAAAAAAGGGAGATGAAAACAAACACAGATTTTAATCCATCTATGGCAATAGCAATAATCTAAATATACAAATTAATTAAGAGCATGAGAGGGGCGCCTGGGTGGCGCAGTCGGTTAAGCGTCCGACTTCAGCCAGGTCACGATCTCGCGGTCCGTGAGTTCGAGCCCCGCGTCGGGCTCTGGGCTGATGGCTCAGAGCCTGGAGCCTGTTTCCGATTCTGTGTCTCCCTCTCTCTCTGCCCCTCCCCCGTTCATGCTCTGTCTCTCTCTGTCCCAAAAATAAATAAACGTTGAAAAAAAAAAATTTTAATTAAGAGCATGAGAAAACAAGTCAGTCTGGGAAAAATATTTGCAAAATACTTATCCAATAAAAGGCTACCATTCAAAATATAAAATAATTCTTAAAACCCAACAATAAAAAAATGAACCAGATGAAAAACAATGGGCAAAAACCTCTGAATAGATAACCTCACTGAAGATATATAGATGACAAATAAGCACATGAAATGGTGCTGAACATGTCAGGTCATTAGGAAACTGCAGGTTAAAGCAATGAGATGCTTCTACGCACCCATCAGAATGGCCAAAATCCAAAGCACTGACACCACCAAATGCTGGTGAGGATGTGGAGCAACAAGAACTCTCAGTCGTTCCTGGTAGGAATGCAAAATGGTATAGCCATTTTGGGAGACAGTTTGGCAGTTTCTTACAAAACTAAACATACTTTTACCACATGATCCAGCAATCATGCTTTTTGGTACTTACCTAAATAAGTAGAAAGGGTATACCCATACAAAAACCTGCACACAATAAAGCAGCTTTATTCATAATTTCCAAAAGTTGGAAGCAGCCAAGATGACTTTTAATATGTGAATGAATAACCAAACTAAGGTACATGCAGGCAATGGAATATTCTGCACCAAAAAGAAGTAGGCTATCAAGTCATGAAAAGGAGGAAACTTAAATGCACATTGCTGTGAAAGAAGTTAATTTGAAAAGGCTTCTTATGATTCCAAATACATAACATTCTAGAAAAGGCAAAGCCATGGAGACAGTAAAAAGATCAGTGGTCAGGGGTTGATGGTAAGAGACTACTGAGTAGATAAAACATGAAAGTTTTAGAGTAGCGAAACTATTTTGATGACACCATAATGGTGGATGTAGGTGGTCATTATACACTTGTCAAAACCCATAGACTGTACAACACAAAAAGTGAATCCTCTTGTAAGCCATGGGCTTTGCATGATAATGATAAGTCAATGTAGGTTCAACACCTGCATCACTCTGGTGAAGGATTTTGGTAGCAGGGGAAGGAGTTGAGGCAGTATTTCATTCTGTACTTTCTGCTCAATTTTTTCTGAAAGCCTAAAACTACTTTAAAAACCTATGAATGAAAACAGAACTAAGTTATATTCTATATAACTAAATACTTGAAGTAGCAGTAGCAGTCACGTCTTGGCAAACCTCAAGCACAGAATCTAGACACTCACATCTGTGCCCAAGGCCTCAGGCAACACTGAAGATGGTCAAGACAGAGCAGGACAGTCACTGGGATGAAAATCAATAGTAGCCACAGGATCTCCACCATTTATTCTTTATTAAGATATGGCCCACTCAAAGGGAAAGATGTTGATGTATTCAAGCCACGTCGCCTCTCCTTCCCCATTGCAATTAATCTTTTCATTATCTTCTTATTCCTATAAAGAAAGTTAGAAAAAGAATTTTGAAAATTTGTTACAATAAGATAGACCATTCTATACCAACCACAATAAAGCAGGAATCCACTTCTGGCATTTCTTAGTAGTTTGCCCTACCACCTAAGATTTTACATGGTAAAGAAAGGAAGGATTGTTCACTTAACATCAGGGCACATATTCTATACACTACAATCGGTTCCATGTTCCACTTCTTTATATTTACACATTCCCTTTTTTTTCTTGTACCTTCTTCCCACATCCCCTTTTCTCTTCACACTTGATCACATGGTTTTCCCATTTATAAATAAAGAAGAAGCAAAAGAGAGGAAGGAAGAAAGAAGGAAAGAAGAAGGAAGGAAGCAAACGAGCTCCCTTGATATTGCTGCCTCAACTACTATCTCATTCTCAGCTCAGGTAGAACAGATCATTAATATGTCCTGTTCCTATGTTCTTCACATGTTCTACTCCAATTTGTAACTACCCTATTCTGTTTCTATTGACTCTCTCAAGATACTCTCAAAAAGGCCACCGATGGTATCCTAAATTGACATTCCCAACAGCAGTGCATTAACCATAGTCTTACATGGCCATCTCACTGCCGGCCATTTCCTTCTGAAACTCTTTGTCCATTGATTTCTTTTAACTTACCTTTCAGCCTCTACCTGTACTTCAGTCTCCATTGCTCACCTGCCATTGACATGCTGATTCTCTTTTGGGTTCTTTCCACTACATACTCCCATGCACAATTTATATGCTAAAGACTCCCAAATGTGTTTCTTTCTAGCCTACATGTCTCCCAGAACTCTAGACCCATGGCCAGCATGACCCATGTATTCCATCCTTTGCCACTGAACTGGACTTTTCTATCTTTTCATCTAGTAAGACAACAACTGTTCCCTCTACTCCTACATTTCTTATATTTGTTCCATTATACTTTAAATTCTTTGCCAGGCTCATAGATTCTGTCTTTCCAGAATTATTATAGTAATCTCTTACCTTCAAATTTAGTTTCTGTTGCAAGATTTCAATTCACTTCCTAAAAAAACCCTTAGTTTTCTTTTCTCATATCACCTCCATCCAACTCCATTGTCAAAAGCTGAATTTTTTACTCCTAGATCAACATTAGGAGTTCTACAGTCTATATAAAATCTAAAGCAGAGCTTATGTGTATGCCCAATATATATTTCCCTGGGTGGTGAGTAGGTAGTTATATTCTCAAAGGAGTCTATGTCATAGAAGTGACTAAGAAATTACAACCCACAGGATAACATGAAACCTTATATATAGATATAAAAGTAACAATGATCTGCACCTCCCCTTCCCAGACTTTTTTGTCAATATAAGCTTCAATCATATTGACCTATTTGCCATTTCTCAGTATGTCATATTCTTTCAGTTCTATGTATTTGGATGAGCGGTTTGCCCTAATTATTACTTTCCAACTGGTAAACTCTTCCTCAGTACATGTAATCCCTTGGGAAGTTTCCCTAAGCTACTCCAATGTAGGTACTACCCATACATTTTCTTTTTCTTTTTTTTTTAAATATAATTTATTGTCAAATTGGTTTCAATACAACACCCAGTGCTCATTCCAACAAGTGCCTTCCTCCCTGCCCATCACCCACTTTCCCCCTCCCCCTCCCCCCATCTACCCTTAGTTTGTTCTCAGTCCTTAAGAGTCTCTTATGGTTTGCCTCCCTCCCTCTCTATAACTCTTTTTCCCCCTCCCCCTCCCCCATGGTCTTCTGTTAAGTTTCTCAAGATACACATATGAGTAAAAACATATGGTATCTGTCTTTCTCTGCCTGGCTTATTTCACTTAGCATAACACCCTCCAGTTCCATCCACGTTGCTGCAAATGGCCAGATTTCATTCTTTCTCATTGCCAAGTAGTATTCTATTGTATATATAAGCCACATCTTCTTTATCCATTCGTCAGTTGATGGACATTAGGCTCTTTCCATAATTTGGCTATTGTTGAGAGTGCTGCTATAAACATTGGGGTACATGTGCCCCTGTGCACCAGCACTCCTGTATCCTTTGGGTAGGTTCCTAGCAGTGCTATTGCTGGGTCATAGGGTAGTTCTATTTTTAATTTTTTGAGGAACCTCCACAGTTTTCCAGAGTGGCTGCACCAGTTTGCATTCCCACCAACAGTGCAAGAGGGTTCCCATTTCTCCACATCCTCTCCAGCATCTATAGCGTCCTGATTTGTTCATTTTAGCCACTCTGACCAGTGTGAGGTGATATCTCATGGTAGTTTTGACTTGCATTTCCCTGATAACTACCCATACATTTTCACAGTCTCCGTTACTCTTTTTCATTCAAGCGTGCTACATGGATTTTGTCCTACATATTTGTGTATACACAAGTGAGGTATCTGACATGTGGTGAATTCTTAACATCTTTTTTTTTCCCTTAAAATACATCTCTAAAATGGAGGCAGTTAAGGTCCCAACTTGGATACTTTGTTCAGATTTCTAAGAAGCCATATTTATCTGAGTTCTAATCCATTACTATGTTTTTTGCTTCCTATTTTTGCCTAATCTATATAGCAAATAAAGAAAATAATATATTGGCCCTCCACCTTCTCCTACTAAATTATTCAGAAACACATCTAGACATCTCCTTTTCTGTGTGTCAGACTTAGAAAAATACTTAAGGGTTACCTCTTAGCACATTCAGGGCATAACATATTATCTTCAAGGCCCGGGGATGGGAAAGTACAGGCGGGCAACAGGAAGAGAGAAATCATCCTCTTGGGGGTGTCAGGCACCCAGGCCTGACCTGCATGAAACTGCAGGCGAACCCAACCTTTTGTGTCTGCCAAGAGAGGTCTGCCATGGACCACACACCACCTGACACCTGAGGATGGAAAGAGAAGCAAATATAAACAGCTAATCCAAGGTCTCAGAACATCACTCTGGGTTTTGCTTTTATATTCTGTTGATGACTCAACTGAATGAAAAGCATGAAAAAATGTCCACCAAAGACACTATAATCTAACTTCACAAATTACGTAGCACAAGGGATGACAATTAACTTAAAAAAAAAATTAACGTTTTATTTTATTTTTGAAAGAGAGAGACTGAGTACGAGTGGGAGAGGGGCAGAGAGAGGGAGAGAGAGGGAGACACAGAATCTGAAGCAGGCTCCAGACCAGAAGCTGTCAGCCAAGAGCCCAACTCATGAACTGCAAGATCATGACCTGAGCCAAAGTTGGATGCTTAACCAACTAGGCCACCCAGGCACAATTAATATTTTCGAATGGTTGCTTTGTGTCTAAGATTTTGCTAAGTGGTTTACATGTACGAATACATCTATTCTTAAGAAGATTATTCATATTGACCTTCTATTTACTTTTATTTACAGGTGAGGTAACTGAAGCTTATCGTGTTAAATATTACAATTTTCCCAGAACCATGACATGGATCTAGATATTCTGATTCAAAGCCCATTTGCCCAACTATTATACTGTACTTCCTCAACAACACAAAACAGGCAAAAAGATCTTTGTTTAAAAGTCCAAGGAACAGGGCCACCTGGGTAGATCAGTTAGTTGAGCATCTAACTTCGGCTCAGGTCATCATCTCGAGGTCTGTGGGTTCGAGCCCCAGGTCAGGCTCTGTGCTGACAGCTCAGAGCCTTAAGCCTGCTTCAGATTCTGTGTCTCCCTTTCTCTCTGCCCCTTCTGCTCTCTCTCTCTCTCTCTCTCTCTCTCTCTCTCAAAAAGAAAACAAATATTGAAAAAAATTTTAAGAAAAAAAAAAGGCCTTGAGGTAGGGAAAGACAGGGGAAGGCTCAGATTGTGGCTGACCACATTATCAGATTATGCTTTCTTCCCACCTCAGACTTTGGCTTATGATAAAAAAGTAAGCACTCAATCACCTAGCTCAGACACTGGTCCAGGTAAAACTTGGCTACCTAGCAACCAAAAGATAATCCATATATAAGTCTAATATCAATCTACATTATTTTAACTCTTTCCTTTTTATTACCTTTCAGTATGAGACTAATAAAATTTTAAATTTAACTTAAAAAAATTTTTCTTTTATTTTTGAGAGAGAGAGAGAGA